TGATAGACTGATTGATTGATGGATAAATTGATTGATTGATAGATTGATTGATTGATAGATTGATTGATTGATAGATTGATTGATAGATTGATTGATAGATTGATAGATTGATAGATTGATAGATTGACTGATAGTTTGATTGATAGATTGATTGATTGATTGATAGATTGATTGATAGATAGGTTGATAAATAGATTGATAGATTCATATATAGATTGATAAATAGATTGAAGGATAGATTAAGATATAGATTGATAGGTAGATTGATAGATAGATTGATAGATAGATTGACAAATAGATTGATGGATAGTTAAAAATCTATCTTAGATTGATAGATAGATAGATTGATTGATTGATTGATATATAGATAGATTGATAGATAGGTAAAAATCTATCTTAGATTGATAGATAGATAGATTGATTGATTGATAGATTAATAGATTGATAGATAGATTGATTGATAGATAGATTGATTGATAGATAGATAGATAGATTGATTGATTGATATATTGATTGATAGATTGATTGATTGATAGATTAATTGATAGATTGATTGATTGTTTGATTGATTGATTGATTGATAGATTGACTGATAGTTTGATTGATAGATTGATTGATTGATTGATAGATTGATTGATAGATAGATTGATAAATAGATTGATAGATTCATATATAGATTGATAAATAGATTGATAGATAGATTGATTGTTTGATTGATTGATTGATTGATAGATTGATAGATTGATTGATAGATTAATAGATTAATTGGTAGATTGATTGATAGATTAATTGATTGATTGATTGTTTGATAGATTGATTGATAGATTGATTGATAGATTGACTGATAGTTTGATTGATAGATTGATTGATAGATTGAATGATAGATTGATTGATAGATTGATAGATAGATTGATAAATTGATTGATAGATTGATATATAGATTGATAAATAGATTGATAGATAGATTAAGATATAGATTGATAGGTAGATTGATAGATAGATTGATAGATAGATTGATAAATAGATTGATTGATAGATAGATTGATAGATAGGTAAAAATATATTTTACACTTTTTTTCCTGGCATTTCTTTTGCCAAAATTAAAGAAGGAATATTTGTTGGACCACAAATCAGAAAACTGATGAATGATGAAAAATTTAATAATGTGTTAAATAAAGAAGAGTTGAAAGCATGGACTTCGTTTAAGCAAGTGGTTATCGGCTTTTTGGGTAACGAAAGAGATTCACTTTATAGAGAAATTAATTATCTTTAATTAAAAATTACAAAGTTCTTGGAGCAAATATGTCTCTAATAATGCATTTCTTGCAGTCTCATGAGGACTTTTTCCTTCAAATTTTAGTGCAGAAGGTGATGAACAAGGTGAAAGGTTTCATCAGGATATCTTTGCAATGGAAAAAGATATCAAGGATATTGCGACGCAAGCATGTTGCGAGATTATTGTTGGACAATTATAAGAGAAACAAATCCACTATAAGAAGCTTGCTCAAGGTATACATATACCTCATTATAATATATTAATTCACTTTTAATACTGCAGTTTCACGTTTGACGTCAAACTTTTATGTAAAATGCAATATATTAATATTTAATATTAATTTTTAAATAAAATGTACAATTATATATATTACTGTTTAGATTCGCACCTTAAATTTTAAAAAATAAATTCGAAAAAATGATTTTTCTGATTTGTTAATAAAAACCACTATTTTGGACAAATTTGGAAAATGGCGAATAACTTATGAAATTTTTATTCGATTTTTATGTTAAGCCACTCGAAATGTTTGTACTAAAACAGTCTTTAACATCAATCAAAAAAAGAATTTTTTTTAAATATTTTTGTGGGAGTCCCATCACATTGAAAATCGAAAAAGTTGAAAAAAGCGTAAAAAAAACATTTTTAATCTGTACATTTTCAGCTATAGCAGCGAAACTAAGTAAGTTACATTAATGTTATGTAGCTTAAAATGTTCGTACAAGTTTCACCTTTAATTTAATATATCACGCACTACTATGGTAACTTCTAAAATAAAGTTACGGGGCCATATGTAGGGTGATGTTTTGAGAAAATTCAAAATAATGGTTTTTTGCAAATAACGCGAAAACGGTACACATGAAAAAAATCTCGTTGTGGTTTTCGAGTTCTACGGAAAATTTCCCTATAGGAAATATAAGTCTGGTCTTTGGAAAACAATACTTTTAATTATTTGTAAACTAGTGTTATTAGAGGCCAGTACGAACCGCAACCTAAATAGATCTACTGGATATATATTATGTTTTAAACAATTTAGGGAAGTTTAAAATTTATTTTTCGATCATTTTTATGTTGGCTTAATAATACCAACTAACTGGAATAACATTTTTTTTCTAAAACCTGGACATTCAAAAAAGATGTGCTCTGAGTTTTCAAAGTCCATTTTATAAAAACAACGTACATCAGTACCGAAAAGACCTATATAAGTCCTTAACTTATTTAAGTGATACTGCAGGTTGCAGTGCCCTGTGAAGTGAGAGAGTGAGTTTTATGTCTGCCCTGCTTAGCAAGAGTACTTAACTTAATATTTCCTTTGCTGAGATAGGAAATCATTCTGCTTGACGTAGGTGTAAGCTTTAAAGTTATAGGTCTTTTAATTTTTTTCTTCCCTTATATGTTGAGCTCATTCAATTGGATTTCCACAGAAAACCTCAGAACCACAGAAAATGTGTCCACAGAAAACCTCAGAACCAATTGCGAGCATATTTAACTACTTCATTGTCTTTATGCCATTCATATCATATGATCATTCTATTGCTACAGTATTTAATTTACCAAACACGTTGAAAGGGTTTAGGTAGTTATTTCCCATTTTAAAGGTAATTTTTCGCTGTTTTCAAATTTTGATCTATCTGTTAACCAAAACCTAAATTGTTTAACTCTTGAAACTCTTAGGGATTGTCTCTTGGGACTTTGATAAATCTGTGTTTCACCAAATTCAACATTAAATGTTTAGACCTTAAATAATTACTATCTAGCTAATTATGGGAACAGACACTTATTTTTGATATAACGCTTATTATCTTATGGAAAGTATTGCTAAAAGCTATATTATTGCCAAGATATTTTTTCTTATGTCTTTTTCATGGTTTATAGAAGAATATTTTCCTCCTTTTTATTTTGAGTTCTAACAGATATCGGAGACTTAATAAACACTGAATAAACTTATGTCATTTGAATAATTTTTTATTAAGACTAATCTTTTATTAGACATATAGCATATATGCAGGAAATCTTCTTAAATTAGTTCCTCCAAGAAATTCATGTAGATCTCTTTAGTTAAACATTGTAGTCAGTTAAAGTCAGATCAATGATCTGAAGTATAATTGCGATGATTCATGGGTTTGCATAGATCGTACATTGCATGGATTCCATTTGAATGCATATCCAAGTGCTCGCAATCAAATATCGAAGATATGGGGTCGCGGTATATCTCTTTTGCGTAATCATTAGTTTTGTGTCTTGCAACGGCATGAGTTTAGTTAATACTGCCTTTAGTCTGTTAGTCGTATTATGGGTACTGCATGATCAAATTGTGTAGCCTTCACGGAAAATGTAGTTATTAAATATTGGTTTTGAACCACCAAACTGCTTCTAGAATATTATATTTATTTTAGTATGACATTTCTTCTTAAATATTTAAAATTTTAATATATCTATTCATGTGTATATAACTTGTTGAAAATGTGAATAAAGAAGTGGGAATGTAGAATTTTGAACTTTTAACTTAATGAAGTTATTTATAAAATTTTTTATAAAATACTTTTAACCTAAATTAGTTTTGAGTTTATTCATTTATTCGTGTAACAAATTTTGTTGAGTTTTGTTTTTATTTTGGCGAAATACGTCTCGTATCACTCAAATTTTGAAATAAAAGTTTTAATTGCTTATCAGAGAGATCGAAAAGTTTTCTATGATCCATGGAGAATTAATATAGAAAAGTACAACAAATTTTAACTGTTAAAATCTGTGAGTTTCGTATTGCAACCAAATTGAGAATTAAAAATGGAATATCAAAACTATTACAGCCAAAAAGTTAACTAATTGAAAAATGTTGGCAATGTGGTTTTTTACTTATTCTCGGACATTGCAGCAACAATCGGAGCTGAACTGTGCAAAACACGTGCAAATATTGTTTTTGGCAGGAATGCGAAATCACTTTGCACTCGTTATCAAATTAAAAAAAAATTAAACCTTGCGAAACCACATAACAAACTCCAGCAAAATCAAATAGAAATTCAAAGCAATTTATCAAACAAAAATGTAACACACGCGCCCGTTGCCAATATCTCGGAGAGTCAGAGTAGTCCTCATAGATTGAAACAAAAGCCGAAAGGTGCCTCAGTGTGTGCGTAAGCATGATTTGATTTGTTGTGTTAAAAAAATGAATAAATATTTTTTTTGAGCTATTGGATTTTTTTGAATACACCATATCTCCATCATTACTCACACTACGTCCATTAAGAAAAAGCCTGAAGTGTATATTGAGTGTCCTGTTGCAGCAGTTTATGCTTCTGTACTTACAGTACATGTCATGTGTATGTGTGTACGTCGTTAATGTGAAATCGTAAACGAATATGGTTGTAGGTTTGATACTTCTGTAGCTTGGTGTATTGTTATTGTTTTTATATGTTTTTCTCGTAAAAATTCTCATTGTGATTAAATATTATTTACAATATTTGCTGTGCGTATATACACTTATGAACACATTGAGATCATGTTAATTCTAACACATCCGCTTACATTGATTTTGGTTCGTGTTAAAATCTTTCACAGTAGAACTACATTAGAATAAATCTCAGCGCATCATATGCGTGTTTCATGAATTAGTAATATTTCAATAAGGCTCTTACTTCGTATACCACCTTACTAGTGACGTGCGAAACGGACCGACTAAAAAAATATTTACTTCTTTAAAATTAACATAATTTCAATATTTTATTTACAGAACATCGTAAAGACAAAGTCGAAGAGATTTCCCCAAAGCGCTACACCACCATCTCCGTACTTAAGCTGAAGCCGAATGCTGATGACGACTACACAGAATATTCATGCCAGGCTAGGCACAAAGCCTTGTCCCCTGCCATGCCGATGCGCGCTACTGTGCAGTTGTCTGTGCTATGTAAGTTTGCATTATTTATTTATATTTTTATTACTTTTTCGATATTTGTCGTGTGCTGGCTGTGATTTCAGCTTTTATGAAACGTTTAGATTTGCATATTCACCATATTTTACAACTGTTTTCCACTGCGAACGACTGTTATTCCAATCCACAAACTGCTTTAAATGCAGTTCATTAAAAACAATTTTGCTATATTTTCAAATTTGTCATTAAAATGCACATAAAATTCACGTATTTGCTTTTTGTTGTGTAAATATATTGCGATAAATTTGTAGTTTATAGTTCACCATCGAATAAATTTAATGCCATCAACCAACCGAAGTGAACAACATTATTTGGGCAGCACTTTTGGATACTCATAATTAGGTTCCATTTATATTACCAACGGCAAACATCATTTGCATTGGAGAAAACTAACAAAAATTTTATTATGATCAGTTTATGGACTTTCAAACTTTTTGTTTTCGAAAAAGTCAAGTTGAAGTTATAGCTTAGTTATTATAGATCGCATTTTCAGTTATATCTTTAGTTAGTCAGTGGCGGATTTATCTTAGAGGCTCTAAGTTAGGAGCTATTGAAGACAAGCCTCACCAAAAGTAACGTCAGGCAATCGTCCTTTTTATCTCACATTGCAACATGTCATTAAACATTCCAAAAATGATTTAATTATATACTTTGCTTTTTTGTTTTATTATATTTTCTCTTCTGTTCTCTTTAGCCTAAGTAACTCATTTCAATTCAACAATTTTTCATATAAAATTTTTTAAATTTCAGGAATTGAAGGAATTATATTTTCACATATGAAACAACCAACCAACTCCAAAGAATAGATATCTCATTAAAACTAGATTTCATTTGCAAATTATGTATTCAAATAATATATTGTGTATTAATATATTATATTAAGTATCATATATTATATAAGTACACATTTTTTTGGGCATTAATAGTACTCCATTTACAACTATTATCTAACAAGTCTGTAATTTATATTTGTATATGTTTTTGACCGCTTTGTGGTTGACCGCTTGTCAAACCTCAAAAGTGAAATGTTTATCAACAATTTCGGAGGAGCACTCAGCTACGACATGAACACTAATTCTGACACCAACATCATATATACACATTGATATTCCTTTTACGGGTGTTATATCTGTGAATGTGGATATTGCCGCCACCTTAATGCCTTTATTAAGGCTGCTATTGATGTCATGTTGGTATAATAAAATTTCTATTTTCACGCCATGCAATGCAAATGCAGCCGCAACGCCATGCTCTGCCCATATGCCCGTCTCTTTTAATTCGTTTTAAGCAACTCCGCATCGAATAATTTCACACTATTGCAACAGCACCAGGAGACCACTTCACTATTTCAGAAAAAACACGTCCACAAATTTAATTCAAACTGAAGTGGCATTTATATAAAATCAAATAATAGCGAAGGTATGTTCACGCGTAGTTAAAAGTGCGGCGTGGGGGTTTAGGGCACCTGAGCTTTTTAATTCAATTGAAACAAATTTGAAACCACGACATATGCTGCATATTAAGCTTACGTGCTTTATTGCATTTTTACCAAATGTGGCAAAGCAAATATTTGCAAGGCAACATTCTGACTGTCATTTTGTCATCAGTGAAGCAAACTGTACTTTGTTTAGATGCAGCACTTTCGGCGCCCCCTTTTTTTCATTGTAATGTTTTATTATTTTAATCCCTGTGCATAGTTCGAAAAATGAAAATATAATTAAAATTAATTATTATAAAATTTTGTATTTTCCATTAAAATGAATACAAGCATTAAAAAGTATAAACTGTGGTGTAGTCGTCCGTTTCACACACGCTACATCGCAACATTTTTCATGGAAAATTGCTGAACACTGTATTAATAATGAAAATTAAATAAAAATAATTTTTTCAAAAATTTTTGCTAATATAATTTTAAATGATTATTTTTTTTTTAATTTTATCGTTAGTTTTATTTGTATTTTTTTGTCCTCGTTTTTTTATTAAATTAAGTATTTAGGACGAAAAACCATTTTTTTAATACAGACAAATTTAGATATTTCACAGCAAAATGCTTAGGTATGAATGAATGAGAAGTAAAGCTATATAACTAAAATACTTTGATATATATAATATATTTACTGTACAGAAATAATCGCATACTTTTAATAAAAATTGAATACAAATGTGTTTTTGTTAATATAAATTTTTTTTCTGGTTATTTCGTATGTACAATTAATGATGTCATCAGTCTATTAAAATCATCCCTTTAATATGGTCAAACAATTAGCCTAATTGTAAAATCTGTTTAACCAAAACCGAGGAAAATAGTTTATTTATTAACAGACGACAGGAGTTAATGAGAAACTAAAGTGTAGAAATTTTTAGAGGATCCTGTTAAAAGATGCTCATTATACAAAAATATATACAAAAAGCCATACAAAAATAGTAAAATATGTTTCCAATTTAAAGTACAAGTCACAATCTGTTTGTGTAATATTTTTTGAATAAATTACATTCGCTCCAATTTTTTTGTTCAATATTTATTTTATGCATTAAAAAATGAAAAATTTTCCAAATAAACATAAATAAAAGCTTGTGAAATAACATGTGTATTTGTGCTTCTGGCATTCGGTGGCGTGTGAAAACGATTGTTTTTTAGTTATTGCTGTTAACATTAATATTATATGACCGACCCACAGATACCTACAACACAGATCACGCAGAGCTCCTGACATAACTATTGATAAGGCGCATAATAAAACTATGCAAATGCATAAAATATCTAATAAAAAAATTCAAATTAAATAAATATTTTTTCATTATATTCGTAGCTGAAAGCAAATATTTAAAATTTAATTATGAATCCAATTTAGTATTAAATTAAGCACAGCTTGTAACGAAATCCGAACAGAAGTACTGATTACCTTATAGCAAAAAAGTGGATTTATGTTAGTCGATAACATATAAGTTTTTAACAACATTTCATAATAGCATTATGTTTGTTTTACAAATTTATTAATGAACCTACATATGATACAATTTTAAATCTTTTTAAAAAAACTTTGATATGTGCTGCTATCACTTTCGAGCACTAAATTCGTTTTTTTCTTTTACATTTTTTGCATTGTTACTAAATTTATTATAACTTAATGCGATCTTTTACTTTATTCAAAGAAAAATTAATAAACTTTCCATATGAAAATTATTTATTCAAACTAAAGTAACACTTCTCTATCACTTGCAGACCCTCCTGGCCAGCCTTACATTGAAGGCTACACTCAAGGCGAAACACTGCGACGGGGTCAAACAGTAGAACTGGTATGTCGAAGCCGTGGAGGTAACCCGCCGGCCCAACTCATTTGGTACAAAAATGGATCACAGATCCGCATGGCTTACAGGTATAACTTCTCTATACACTCTTCTAATAAACTTTGAAAGAGTGTACGTTTAATTTATTGTTACAGGACATCGGGGAGGCTATCCGAAAATATTTATACTTTTACAGCGGAAGCAAGTGATAATAAGGCGCGCTTCCGTTGCGAAGCGAGCAATGTGATGTCCCAAAATCCACTACGAGTTGAAGTAGAACTGACTGTACTCTGTAAGTACTGCAAAATAACTAAAATAATTTACTCTCTCTGTACTGTACGAGATATGGTGAAAAAGTAACGGAATTTTCGCAGTTGTGTTTTGTTTATCGTATTTTTTGTATTGAAAGCATTTCAGTAACCTAGGTGTTAACTATCAGGTAACTGCGATACAGAGCTTGTGTTGACAGAGTGATAATGATAGAAGTTCATTCGAGTGTTTGAAGATTTTTTGTTTGGAAAATTTCAGATCAAATAGTTTGTGTAAAAAACGGAATTAAGTGCAGTGGAGCATTAAAAATTATATGGATTTCTTTACTCTGTCGACGATACTATGTCTTTGTATATGGCGTAGTGTAAGATTGTATATAATCTTACAAATTATATACAAATTTTCAAACAAGTTTTGAAGGCTTTAAAGATGAGGCGTATTTCAGTTACCCATGTGATGAAAAATTAAAAAAATTTTTTTTGCGATAAGAAAAACCACCATTAATGACGTTGTTAAAGAGACTGGAAAATAATAGGGCTTTTTTATGTTTAGTTATAGCAAAATTTTGCCAAAATATGATACTTACCCTATCGTCCATTGTTAAATATAACATTATGGTTACATGTAATTATCCTATTCTGCAGATACGGCGTTATAGAAGTTTTTTCTATTTCTGGAACTCATCTCAAAAGATCTTTAGATAAGATAAAGAAAAACTCGTAGATTTGCCTAAAAAGACGTTCTAGCAGTGCTCCAGTTCAAACTGGGAACTATGGTAGTATAAGTACACAATATTAGAGAAAGTAGCATAAACATTGAAAATTAATTAAATTCTTTTTATTACCTTATATAACTGAAATGTTATGTTAACTGCCGTTTAAAACATACAAATCATAAAAATAGTACAAAGTTTTATAAAAAGTAATAATATTTATTAAAGAATCTAAGTATGTATTTAATTATATTCCGATTTTGCCTATAGCTTCATGTAACGTATCTAAAATCAAAACTTTTACTGCTATAGTAAATTCACAAACATTATTATATTTTCACTTTGTAAAATTATTTTGTATATGAAGACGCATTTTATTTTTCGGTATGAATAACGGAATTAACAATTCTTAAAAACGTAATGCTTCGTTCTTAGTCCTTTCTGAGTACCCTAGAAACTGTTGTATATCATCATCATTTTGGCATCACAGTCCAGGATGGACCATTGCCTTCTCTACAATATGCCTCCATTCTTCTCTGCATTTCGTTTTCTTTCTGTATTGTGTTATTCTCATCGTTCGTATGTTGTTTTCTACATCTTGTAACCATCTTTGTCGCGATCGTCCTCTTTTTCTACTCCCCTCTGGCTTTGTCTCGAAGATTTTCTTAGTCATTCTTTCGTTACTCATTCGTAGGACGTGTCCATACCAGGGCAATCTTTCAGCTTTTATGTATCATGTTATAGTTCGGCTTTTGTTCAAGATATTTAATTCGTCCTTATACCGTATACGATATGTGCCGTCTTTTAAGCACACCGGGCTATATATTTTCCTGGGTATTTTTCTTTCGAATCTCAGTAGCAGGTTGTTGTCGCTGGATTTAAGGACCCATGTTTCGCAGCCGTAAGTAAGAACCGGTCTACTGACAGTTTTATATATGCGCAATTTTTGTTCCTATGATAGTAATGTTGATTTCATAAGCTTGATATGGGCAAATCATGCTCTGTTAGCTGTTTGAATACGATCTTATATTGCAAGAGTAGCATCTTTACTTGTGCTGAGAACTACGCAAAGATATTTAAACTCGTTATAGACTCGAAATTGTAACCGCCTATTCTGATGTAGGTATCTTGGAGAAATCTTGTCATGTAATCAGTTTTTTCTTCGTTTATTCTGAGACCTGTTTGCTTTGTAGCTTGTTCTAGTTGTATGAAAACGGATTGAAGATACTCCTTGATACTTGTAATAATGACGATATCGTCAACATAGGCGCATATTTGTGTAGATTTATAAAATATTGCACCACCTTGATCTGTTTTGTTGATAGCATGTAGAGTCAAATTGAACAGGAGCGTCGATAAAGTATCAGATTTGGTTTCAAATTTGACGTGACGTAACGAAGCATTGGTGTGTTGTTGAGCGACCTGTTCTAAATCCACATTGATAATCTCCCAGTATTTCTTCTGCGTACATGTTTAGTTTTTCATACAATATGTTGAAAATATTTTATAGCAAACAATAAGAAGAGATATACCTTTGTAGTTAGCACAGCTCGTTTTGTCGCCTTTTTTTATAGATAGGAAATATTAAGAAGAATGTATACCATTCTTCTGGCATTTTTTCTGTTCTCCAGATTTGAAGTATAAATTCATGTATCTGCTTGTGAAGCTCTTCTCTGGCGTATTTCATCATTTCAGCGTTTATAAAATTGTCTCCACACAATTTAAAGGTTTTTAACTTCTCTATTGCTCGTTTCGTGTCCTCAAAAATAGGTTCCTCCAGCATATTTTCTACTGTCCATACGGTATCACTAGGGGCTTCGACTTCATTGCTATTCAGCAGGTCGCTGAAATGGTTTTTCCAAATATTTTAAACTTCTTTTCTATCACTGATCAATTTATATTTTTACAAGCTGTCAAGTGCGGTTGGAATATGCGCGTATGTTTTCGTATTTTGCGGTACATTGATCTTGTTTGATTTGTTTGAAAATCTTGTTCAATGCTTTTTAGTCCTTTTCTCAGAAAATCTTTTTATTTTCGTATTCTTTTTTTTGCTTCTTTTCTTTTTTCTTGATATTTAAGCAAATTCTGTCGGGTGCCATTTTCACTGTATATTTTTCTAGCATCGTTTTATGCTTTGATAATCTCTCTGCATTCTGATGGAGTGAGTTTTTTGGCCAATAGTTTCGTTTAGTGCGCTAAGTACGGCCTGTTTAATGCCCTGCCAGCTTACTATTACGTCTGAATTTCTTATCGTTTCTTTATTTTCTTCTAGTTTGTTTACAATTTTTTCTTGGTAAGCGGCTCTTGCAGATTCATTTGTTATGGCGGCCTCGACGTTTCAATGGTTCTTATTGTATTAATTTTTTGCGATTTTAGCCAATATACTTTGACGAATACGCGCAACAACCATATAATGATCTGAGTCACAATTTGCACCCCGGTAAGATCGTACATCAATAACTGAATACATATGTCTCTTATGTACTAATATGTGATCGATTTGATTGGCATCATTATGTCCTGATTTCTCCAGGTTTGCTTATGTGTACGCTTGGGCTGAAAGGATGTTCTGCTTGGATGTAGTCCTTGGGATTCGGCAAAGTTACATAGACGTAAACCATTATCTTTCGTATTTTCATGAAGCGAATGTTTTCCTGCGACTTGTTGTATTATTGATTGTTCCCTTCCGATCTTTTCGTTGTAGTCGCCGCAAAGTATTTTAATATCATACCTGCTTATTTTACTGCATACATTCGACATTTTATCCTTGTTCTCATCTTTACTTTCTTCTGTGGGCTCATAGACCGACAAAATTGGTGTATTTAAGAATTTGCCTATGAGTCAAATAGCATATACGTTCATTTATTGGTTCGAAAGTCGTTATACTTTTTCGCGCTCTTTTGTTGCCGTAAAAACCTGTGCCTTTGTGACCTTGAATTTTGGCGCTGCTGTAGAAAATGCTATAATCTCATTTCTTGATTTCGCCATGCCTCTTCCACCTTATTTCTTGCAGACACGCTATTGTAATGTCATACGTTCTAAGTTCGTCAGCTATTTCTGATATTTTACCCGGTTGAAGCATAGTCAAAACGTTCATGTTGCTAATTTAAAATCGTTGTCTTTTATACGTTGCATAGGTCGATATCTTGGGGGTGTTCCTATCTGAGGCATTTACAAACTGTTGTATGTAAAGATGATATTTTAAATAATAAATTTAACATCTTCCTTGTAAACACTGAAGAATTCAAAAATAGGGGCATTAATATTATATTTTTAACTGTGATGGTTCTACAAATGCTGACGACATATTTTTTCTTTGTTATTATATCACACATATGACAACATATAGTTGGGAAATGTAGAAACGTTTCCTACTTAGTAAGGGATTCTAGGTATATAGTTTCACCTCGTCATGTAGTGTCTGTGAGACTAGTACTGTCAACTTATGAAGTCTTCTCACAATTAGTTGAATTTTACAAACGTTTGTCGATTTACAGATCGAGCATAGAAGCATAAAACAATTGTTGACTTTTTAACGGCGCTTATTGCATTAAATCAAAAATGTAAGTTTTCTTTAAGTAGTCGTGCTTCTGTTTAAAGTACTACAACATAACTGCATTAAATTGAAATAAATGAAATACGGGCTAGTGTTAAGAGCGAAATGCAACAAAATAATATGCATAAAAGCATAAAAATGATTAAGAGCAAGAGTGGCCTGGTATATTCCCTCGCCATATACGTGAGCCCTTTCTTGAAACAAGAGCGATAATATAAGCAGATTCAATCTTACAGGTACTTAACCCACACGTTCTTTAGTATTCAAATTTCAAGGAATCTTAAGTCAGCATCCATACGAAGGTCGTGAATATGTTATGATATTCTAGCAATAGGTAAAGTAACACTGGCTGCTGCAGGTAACAACTGTTATAGCAGTAATTCAGACGTCTCACCGCAATGTAGCATGTACCAACGAACAGGAACAATGCGCGAACAACAAAACATTCTTCATTCAAAATTTTATTTTGTTTTTCAGTGTATTCACTACTGTTTTGTTTGTTATTATAATGTACTGAAAATAAGCAGGAGCGTTACTTCGTATTTCTAATTTGCACTAAAGACAGTAACCAAAAACATCAGATTATTTACCACTAATGTACGTTAACAACACGGAGTTATATTCCAATGTTGAAAACTAAAATGATGATAGAACAGCTAATCACTTTTGTCCGTTTAAATAATTAATTTCATATCAAGGAATGACTCAAACCCAATAATATATTAAGAGAATTAAATGATTTCAACAAGGTGATATTTGAATTTTGTAATAACAACAATGATTTTACAGTACGTTTGAGCGTATTCACAACTTTTTTAACAACCGAAAAAAATTGTTATATAAATAATACTTACCATTCTAATAACCAATTACTATGAGAGGATTTATTAGTTTCAGTTAGTAAATAAATTAGTTGTAATAACGATTAGCTAGTCAGACAAGATTTAAGTTAGGTTGTCTTAAATAGGAAATAAATCAGCGATTTCATCAAGCTACAGCATACCAGTCTAGTGGACGTGATGTGTAGTAATGTGAAAAAATTGGATATTCCTGTCAGCTCGTGATGTCGCTATGAAGAAAGGAATGAAGCACTGTTTTTGATGCTTTGCAATGCTATGGATATGCAGTGTAGGTTAAACCTGCTAGGGATTTCCTAGATGAGATTGATCAGTTACAAGATGTCACCATGAAGCACTGCTTGTGTATTGTTTCTACAAATCAACTGTATAATAATCTTTATATACAAATAAAATTACTTAAGCTACAAAATAAGAAAGAAGCTTTAATCATTTTGTGCATTTATTTTCCATTTGTACAGACAGCAAAACATTCTGAAAGTAATAATAATTAAGAAGCATTAAATTCATTAAAAACAAATTTTGACATTTATTTACAAAACAACAGTTATACTTGATAAAGACTGTCTGTAATAATGAACTACAGAAAACAAAACCAGTGAACATACATCAAAGCCTCCTCTAGGAGTTTGTATAGTTCTATATTTCTTAAATGTAAAGATTTCTTTGCGTGTAATTAACATTTTTTTATTTACTCCCGAATATATTGCGAAACATAAGATGACAATGAAGTATGTTTTATACATGTTCTCTTTTAGCTTTGTTTTTCGTTTTGCTGATAAAGTATATATATTATTCTAGCATACATCATAAGCAACAAATACTCTTATACTCATACCGAAACAATTTGGGAGCATTAAATGATGATACTGAAACAAGAACACAATTTAAAGGAGCCTTACACTTATTCCTTTCTAAAACAGAAAATTCAATATCCAATATTAAACATTTCAATTTTCCACATATTTTAAATAAAACCACCAAAATAAATATATATTACCTTTAATTCATAATTTTGAAACATTCACGATATGAAAAATTGTCATCAATTTACACAAGCTGTAAAAGTGACGTAGTTACTGTGGCAATGGAGTAGTGTATCGCGTACAACCCATTTTGCATTAATTATCTAGCAATAATTAATTTGTTTAATTTATTTTTTGACATAGTTTTTGTATATGCTGCTGGTTTTAATAAGCTCAACACAGATGAAAGTTTATAACCTTTGAAGTTACAGTTCTACCTTAGCTCTCCTTTTAACTTGAGCGAAATACATTTCAGAGATATTAAAAATGTGGTTCCTTTGTAAACCACATACCAATGTCAATGTCATCATCAACAGCTGTTCTTCCACACGTAGATAAATGTGTGAAATGTGTTTGAAACAGAAAACATATCAAACACGGAGGAACGCATCCATTATGAGTTGTTGTTTGTCATTAGAAAAACTGAATTTATGTCACTGCTGTGGTTATAAAAACTTATGAAACTTATTTACAAATATTAAATATTTCTATATTTAAACATTTTTTCTTTTCTATTGTTTTTTTTATATGTGACACCGAAAATTTGGTAGTTGCTCCAAATCACGTAAGTGTTGAGGGTCAAACCGAAGCCCGTGTAGGCGATGTTGTACCTCTAAGCTGTACCACAGCTCCATCTAACCCTGCAGCTGAAATAAAATGGAATATCGGTGGACGACAAATCCGTAACGCTACATCGCTGACTACAATTAATCCTGAAGGTGGGTAGCAACCCTTTTAACACTTTATTACTTAATTTTTACAAAAATCTAAATTTATTCTTACTTTTTATATTTTTAACTGTAGTTTGGTTTATATATATGGAATGAATTGCTAAACTATTTCGTTTCTGTTTATTAGGTGGTTGGATTACAGTTTCAAACATAACTACAGTTGTGGAACCAAATAAACGTTCTTTGATTGCGACGTGCAATGGTCTAAATATGCAACTCACCGAGTATGTACAGTCAACACACACGATTAACGTTTTATGTAAGTAAATCTTTCGAGAAAGTATATAAATTATTTTAAATTTTGGGTATTTTGTGCAACTTTAAAATTTAAGTTTATTTATATTATTTAGTTTATTATATATAGTTTATATAGTTTATTATTATATATAGTTTATTATTTAAATGGTTTTTTATATAGTTTATTTACCTCGAATTTCGTACATTTAGTTTTAATGATATTAATACATTAAAATACCTTTGAATTAAACGAGTAACAGAGTAACTATCAAAATTCAATAATAAATTTATGTAATATTTTTAAAATATGAAATAGTGAAATAAAAGAAATTCTGTACATGTGTCATATATTTTCCTTTAAAACACGACTTTTACTTTTCGTTTATTCATTACACTTTTTCAAAAGGCGTTTGGTGTGAAGTAATTAAGTCATAACAGTTCCGTAATTACCTAGAATAATTATGAGAACAGCTCAAAATGATTTTATGCTTTTAGTTGCATACTTGTTTTTTAGGAAAACTGAATTAATATTTGCATTTATCTTGCTGTTTTTGTGGTCGATCTCACTGTACCGCCACAGTATATTTCATGGCTCAAATATTTTGCATAAAAATTGAAGATAATAATAGTAACCAACACCAAAACGGTGAAAAGCAAAAGCGCCATACTGTGTTCCAACAGTGATGTGATTTGTACTAACATCAAATCATAATCTTTAGTATAACTGCAATGATGATAAGACAACAGCAACTTAGCATAAATGTAAAAGAGTAAATGACAATGGCAACAAAATAATGAACGTGATAATGATACATTAGTTGAAAGTAAATCTCCATAGTCGCACTAATAGTATTAGAAATTAACTCCTGTTCTGTTTTGTTGTTTGAGTGGCCGGCTAATGTACATCAGCGCAAATAGTAATAAATGCCACGCCAACAAAAATTCTTTCATAAAGCGTCATCGTTTCTCTTGTTCCTTTTGGTACAAAGAACGAAAGCGTTTGTAACAATAAAAAAATCAAGAAAAACAAGTCATCACCACATGAGCTTAAAACAAATTGTGTTGATTGACTGTTGAGCACCGAAAGGGCTGTAAAGGGCTAAAAATATCAGAAATATTACATCGTAGTAGGAGATAATTCCATGGTGGGAGTGCGCTCGTATCATTGCATGTAAGATTGTTTTAAATTATAATTTTTTTATAATGTAAAAATAAAATATAATATTTTGCTAAATAAATAAAACGCACTGGTTTCTCCCATATGTACTTAATTTCTTTTGTATATTTGTAGAATTTCTCATGTATTTTATATTTTTCTTTTAACCGAAAAATTTAACCTGATTTAATAATTAGTTTAATGTTAAGTATATTGTTTTTACAAGGTTAAAAATGAGCGAATTCGGATTTAAGGTAAATTCAGAACAATTGAAAGAAAACAATATACACATAGTAGAAAAAGTCTACGAATATTCACAAAATTTTTTTTAAATTACGCATAACTTTTTCAATTTTTACTCAAATTCATTTATATTTCCTAATTTATTTTAACCAAAGAAACAACAATAAAGTTGCAATATTAAAACTAAACAGTTATTCTTAAAAAAAAAATTAAACACAATTATGTGCAAAAGTAGCAATTTTTGAAGCAGAAAAAGTCTACGGATATTTCTTAATATTTACATTTACCGCTAATTTAAATGATATTTAATTATTAGTTGACTTCCTAGAGTCTAAAAATTAATCATTTAATATAATTTTTTTATATAAGCAATAAATTTTTACAATATAAAATAAAAGACGTGAAATTAGTTTGTGAGCTACAAATAACTGTTAAATTTTAGAAAGATGACGCAAGCCAAACAAAAATTGGTGAAGATATTGGTCGTCAATATTCAACTGTGCATAGAATAACAAATAATTTCAAAGAGACGAGTATTTACGTTTCTAAACCTCTCACTCACCGCCCCTCAATTCTGTCAAATAGAGAAAGACGTAGCATAATCAACCAGGTGAAAGTAAATCCAAGAGTAACAGCCTTCAAACTAGCTGAACATATTGCCGAAATACTAGAAAACAAAATATGTCCTGATACTGTGCGGAAAATTTTGAAGAAATGCATGTATTATACCCTGATTGCAGGAAAGAAGGTTATCCCACAGGTTATTAAATTTAAGATTTTTGTGAATTTTATTGTTTTAATGTAAATATTAAGAAATATCCGTAGACTTTTTCTGCTTCAAAAATTGCTACTTTTGCACATAATTGTGTTTAATTTTTTTTTTTAAGAATAACTGTTAATTTTTTATATTGGAACTTAATTGTTGTTTCTTTGGTTAAAATAAATTAGGAAATATAAATGAATTTGAGTAAAAATTGAAAAAGTTATGCGTAATTTAAAAAAAATTTTGTGAATATTCGTAGACTTTTTCTACTATGTGTATATTCGTTTCTTTATTTACTATACACATAAATGATGGTAGAGTAGAGTAGAGTAAATAGATTAAATTTAAAAAATGAAAATAATTTTTAAATTTTCACAAATAATTTAAAATAATTTTTATGAAAACTATAGAATAATAAAAGTTTATGGTATATAGAATGTGAATGAATGTGCAACTACAAACAAGAAATAGAAATGTGAAAAGTACATAAATTCAATATAAAGTTTATAGGCGGTAGTAACTATCAAGTCAACATAATGAGCGACATTTAACGAGCCTTAGCGGGCACGTTGAGTTCACTGCCCGAGATTAATTAAGAGCAGTTGAACAAGAGTCCTGACTGTCTGGGATTTATATTCTGCCGTGTACAACGTTTTGCTACAGTAATAATTATAAAAGCATATTGACTTCAGCCAACACAACAACATAACAACTAGCATAACTGTAACATTGGCAATTTGCCCGCTAACTTAAAAATGATCTACCTCAAAAGTAGCAAACAAAAGTATGGTACGGAACGGGCGATAGGAGTGCAAATCAGTTTATTATGAAGTTGCCTATGCACACTGTACTACAACTAAATATAGCCTCAATGCGTGAAGTGGAGTAGAGTCTCGTGGGATATTGAGAGCTCGACGCGAGCTTCATTATTAATCGATCAAATTTTGGTACGCGCTTTGAATTTATTCAGAGGAATACATAAATTTATTGTATTTGCCGATGTGTGCGCACACTTATTCGATTGTTTACTGCTGTGTGTGTAGCTGCTTTTTGATGACGACGTGTATGAGACTCGGCCGACTGCTATTGTTTTTGCATTCATCGCTCATTTAAAGTGGTGATTAAAATTAAAATAAGAAAAAAATAACGTTGGCAACAGCTGCCAACAGCAAAGTACGTGACAGTGAATTATCAGAAACTGCGTTTATTTTTCCTTATTTGCCTTAAAAGTTATCTACATTTTCTAGGATTTTTTTTTTTGGTTTTATCCGGTCTTATTAACATATTCAACATGCTCAACCGAATTAAATTTAAGTGCATAAATGAAAAAATTTAAATAAATTGCAATTATGTTGAAAAAAGATTTACTATTTTTGTGTCACTTCAATTTTAAGACAAAGCTTGGAAAGTTTCATGAAAATGGGATTATTCCTGCGAATAAATTTTCTTGTCACAATTCTCAACTATCATTGCTATGCGTGCTTTACCAAAATTAAAACAGTTTCCTTGTTTTAGGCGGTTTCGGTGGTAGTATGTAATTTGTAGTTTTTCAGTGGCTTTTCTTAATGAAATTGACTATAATATTAGTAGGATAAAGAAAGCAGTATGATTTTAGAATACTGACATGATTTTGATTTCGAGGAACGCGTAGAATTTTAGTCAATACAGCTATTTTCAGCAATTCATTCCGTTAGGCAATATGTTTTATTGACATATTTATATGTCAACATGTTATATACCCATAAGTATTATATCTTATTTTTCGATATATAATGTTAAACATAATACAAAACTTTGGTATTGTGTGTGTGTTGTTGTTGTACTCACTGGTACTCATAGTACCAGTACTCATAGTAGTCACTAGTATTTCCTGTATAAAATATTAAAAGAAACAAATATATAAATTTGCATTAAATAATAGAATTAATTATAAAAGAAAATCAAACAACAGACTTGATTCGAAGTTAAGGATAATAAAAAACAATTGAAATAAAACTATTTTATTGTTTTAAAATGTTAACACATTGTTAAATATGTTAAGTTACAACACGACCTGTTGGGACACAAAGTCTAAACCGCATACCTTTAGCGTACCAAAGTGACAAGCCTTCAAGGCCCGTACAACAACTGGCAATCAACTTAACTTGACTTCTTGTTACTTACAACAAACTGTTCATATGTGTCAAGTGGATATCACATAAGCATTTCACAACAGTTATCAACAGTTACATACATAAGCCAACACCTTGTGGGAGCTGTCTTCCTTTTAAAGAAATTAGCCATATCACATTTGCACTCAGAATTATGATAAAATTTCAAATAACTTCATCATAATTTCATGTGCATTTATCAAAAATTTGTTAATGTTGCTTGTGAATTATCAGCGCAGATAAAAAAATGGGCCGAAACATTTACGGCCCATTTTTGCTACACGCAAATTGCTTTTTATTAAATTGAATTTGTAGTTGTTTCGGTGTTTGCTGAAGACCTGTAACGCATTGTGATTTAGTAATTTTTATCTATGAATAGACGGCAAGTCAGAGGGACTGGAATATGTCAAAAAAAATTATGTACCTTGACTGATATCCTATATATTATATATATATATATATATATATATATATATATATATATATATATATATTATATATAATATATTATATATATATTAATATATATAATATATATATATATATATATATCTTTACTCTTAGGACTGAAAAGACTATCTTAGCACGAAAGAATACGTTAGAATTATCATTGCAGATTTTACAGTAAATATTCGATTTTAGTTATATTGTGAAATTTGAAACTAAAAAAAACTTACTTAAAAATGTTTCCTATTAAATGCTATTAGATGTGAGATAAAAGTATTTTATAGAAACTTTGGAGTTAGTCCCTACGTTTTTGATTGTCTTTATATTAAATTTAACCTAAAATACACATACATAAATGTTGTTGGGATGTTATTGCTATATTTTGTATGTATTATGAGATAAAGAGTATTGATTTAAAAAATCTTAAAAAGTTTATACAAAGTTAGTAAGTTATTTGTTTGCAGACATGTTTATACTTTAAAGAATATATTAAAGCGGATCAAGTTTAAATTAAAGCCAATGGGTATTTATATAGGCTAAAAGAAACGAAATCGGATATGCAAGTTCTCTAATTTGTTTCTATTTGATCTTTAATATTTATATTTTAAATTTTGTTTCTCTACAACTTCAGATATCTAGTATTTTAAGATATCAAGACAAATACGAGTATGTAAAGTATATTGAATTTCTTTAAATATATGTTAAACACATACGCATATAAGAATGATTTTAAAATTATATATTAAAGCCATATCAGCACCAGTAATTTCCAGAAAAATTAATTAATCTAATTATGGCCATCATTTGAATTATCAAAACTTCTCCAAAATCTACCTGAGACTTATTTTATCTATATAATTAACTATTTGATTAACTTCTGACTTATGGTATGGATACTATAACTTTAATAATTCAAATAATTTTGCTAAAAATTATTTATATATAATTTTATAAGTTTATAAGTTTTTAACATATAACATATGTTAAAAACTAAACTAAAGAAAATTAAATTTCTTTCCTACTTTAGAGAATTTAAGCTTCGCTGTCACTTTCAATTACTACTTTGAAAATCTTTAGCAATTTGTACGTCAATATGTCAAATATTCTGGAGTTGTAATCTCAAATATCAAAACTTAGATTTATGACCTCTCAGACAACTTTGGAAGTAACTACCAAAAGTGGAAGTAAGCGAAAGTTGCTTAAATTTATCTTTCCTGTTTTTGTTTCATTGTTTAAAGTATGAAGCAGTTTTTCTTATGCAGAACACATAAAGTATTTGACAAATTGAGTTACGTGTGTGCATAGTTGCGAGCTGCTATGTATCTACTTCTTTGTAATTTACCACGCAAAAAAAAACGTAATTAATTTTCACATTTTGTATAAATTCATTTATAATGATTATGTAACAACACAAAATATAATATATCTACATTTTGATATAAGAATGTGTGAAATCAAAGCATGAATGCGCTAAATAACAGCAGTTGCACATTTTTATTGCACTTTTAATATGCAACATTTTTATAAAATGTGCAGATGTTTTTGATTCTTAACGTTAGAATTCAGCTATCCATTTAAAGATAAAAATGAAGTTCAATTTAAGCTTACTCTGTGAAGTAAATTTTAGAATCTCGTTTGTTGCATTTCATTAAAATATTATTGATAACAAAATGAACTTAACGTTTAACGTTTTGTTACCGGTATTTTGTTCTATTGCGTAAAATGCACAGTTATACTATTGAATAAAATAAAATAAAATAGAAAATAAATAGGATACAAATTCTACTAGCTCTAGAAAGCGGAGCACTGTGATTGATGATTGATATTTTGTGTTGATTGCCGATTCTCACTGAACACAAGACACTCCGCCCATCAAATGAAAGCTAAAATGGTAGTGGTTTAGGACATATTAACAACCCGGTTTCAGGGAGAAGAACTCTCAACCTAGTGCCGCCTCGTGGCTAATATCAAAACCATACAGTTATATGAAATGTGACTGGAAGTCGAATCTGCTTGTAGGCAAATACGATATTCTGTATCTTTAGACGGATCCATCTAGTTAAGATGATAACATATGACATGGTGAACCGTTAAGGAACGTGCCAACAGTATCAGTTTTGTTCTACTAAAAAGGAAGAAACCATCGTTGCTAATGTATAGAATTAATTGTATCCTATTATTAAATAACTTAAGATCTTTAATAAATTGTATAATTTCAATAAAACATAAATTTTCAGGAATATTAAAATATTTAAACCTTAAGAATTGTTAGTGCTACTTCATACATAACATATGTACATAATTATTTTTTATAACATAAGTTGATAGTAAAGTGTTCTTTCGAATATTGCTGTACATATTTTTTAAAAATTTTTATTTTTGTTTTATAATCTTAGAAGTTTTAAAATAACAACTTCTAGGTTTTGGTTATCCGTAGAGTAATCTGTGGAATAACTTTATAATTTGATCTTGGCTATATGTCATATTCAAAAATCCTGGTTTCATAATAAATATATAGACATCATCCATTACATTTTTTAGAGTTTTTCTCTTATTTTTGTTGTTTAAAAATGAATTTTTAAAAAATATTTTCAATTGTTTCAGAACTCTTGTTTGTTTTGCCTTTAAAACAAAGTGGGAATTAATAGGTGCACTAATATTCAGCGAAAACCTTTAAACGCACCTTCGAACATTTAACTTGGGCCAAGTAATTTTAAATTTCACCCTCTTAACATATCACAGCATCCTTTCTGTTCTTCATCCAGTATGCAAAACTAAACTTTTCCTTTTGTGTTTTTGATCCTTTTTAGTAGCGCCAGTATTTTTGCAAAACATGCGGAGAATACGAGGCGCTGCAAGCGAGGCTCCAAGTCTAAATACCTAAAATAGCATAAAATGAAAATGTAAAATTAAAAATAAAAATAAAAATAAAAACAGAAGAGCAATAAAACTTTTTTTGGTTTTTTGGTTGCTCTGCCTTGCTTTGGGGTTTAAGGGAATTTTTATGTGCTCAAATTAAATAAAAATTTAAGGCACACTAAGTGGACAGCAGCAATGAAAGCAATAAAAAGTTAAATGTGTACCAAAGCAACAACAACCTCCACGCAAAACAAAAACAGTAGAACAATAGCAAAAACAATAATAAAGTAAGAGTCGAATTTTGCTGTATAATGATTTTAAATTTTTTTGTGCTGCCACTTTTCGTTGCGCTCATAATCAGCATTTTTTGTTGCGACCATTGTGAATGCCTCTGCTCCTGCCGCCATCTTGAACGATGTGATTGAATAACACGAATACAAACTGACCCTCAGGCATTTGTCCGGCAAGTCCACGGTGGCTTATTTTTGCTTTTGTACTCTGAATAAAATTACGACTGCTATTCTGTTCGTTTATAGCGAACACTCGATCGCTGCTCCACGTGGTTGTTATTTTTACTTATGTTTTCAATATGTGTTTAAAAAAATTTGTTCATAATTTTACGGTCGTCTTGTGCAATTTCACGCTCGATTTTTTCACTTCCAAAATTTATTTGCTTTGTTTCCTTAATTTCTTTGTTTTGTTTTTTAGATCCACCATCGCCGCCATTAATTTCGGGTTATATGGAAGGACAAATTATTCCAGCTGGTTCAGTGCAAAAACTGCTGTGTGTTTCATCAGGAGGAAATCCTTTGGCCACATTGACTTGGTACAAAAATGATAAGAGGGTGAGTCCTTGAAAGTACGATGCAATAAACTTAATTCATATTTATAAGTATGCAATACAAATACTTTACTACCGGAGTTGTCTTCTTTGAGACTTTTAGTTCTAGCTGGCCTGCATGTCTCCTTGATGCAGCAGTGGTATCAAACTACAATTCAAATATTCCATTGTGACATATTTTGATGTTAAAATGTCTAACAATGAAATAAAATGCAGCCGTGTTAACTCATAAAATCTTGACTTTCAGTATAAATTGAAAGCGACGGTATTAAAATGAAAATTTATGTACTAGTTATGTTGGGCGTTGTGAGGTTTGTTGTGTTTGTTGGGTTGCGCTATATATGTATATTGCAGTCCATTTCTAAATTGTTTACAAACCCTTTGGTATTTTCTTAATGATGTAAACTAACGCAGCTGTGTGGTGCTTAAGTTAGTTAATTGCATGACCAGTATAGAATCTGAGAATTGTGACAAAGCACATTACAGCTGTCTACAGCAAAAAACATCTCCATTTGGGTAGACTAAGCAAATATTTCTGCCATGTTTCTCTTATCAGTTTTTCCAAAAATGTGAACGCAACCTACAAACACTGATCCCCATGTGAAAGCTTCAGCTTTTACACACCTATGTATATTAATACTCTTAACGCTCGCCCACAGTTTAATATGCAAATTGCGAAACATTATCCTTGTTTACACGGTGTTAGCCACGGATCGTTGCTTGTCAGTGTTTAAGGTGTTGCAGTGGAGCAAAACAAAACGTTTCAATGTACCTAGTTGCTTGGTGCGACAGTTTTGTTATTTCAGCCAAGTGATAGCCGTAATGGGAATAACGGCTGTAGATGGAACTTAGAATCAACAAATGAGTATGTTATTAGAACAAAAAGCAGCATGGAACTGTTTTGTTTTTTTTAAAAATATCGTTGAAACGAAATATTTTATTTTAACAAAATTTCATTTCAGTTTAATTATAAGTACATTAAAGTTTAAAAACATATCATAGAAATATATAGAATGTGCACAAAGTAATAATATATAAAAATTATAAAATTTTTAAACATTAAACAATACTGTATTGTATTTGACAGATTAATTCAGTTATTCGCACGGCTGACAAATCTGTCTCTGCTGAGATTACTATTTTAGCTAACGTATCAGATAACCAAGCTCAATACCGCTGTGAAGCATCCAACACGGCCACCGAAATACCAATTTTTGAAACAACAACCCTTAGTGTGCATTGTAAGTTTTTTTGGCTCATATATACTCAATAAATATGCCTTTATATACTTTTATGCACTTCTTAATATAAAATGAATTCAACTTTTATACTTCACTTAGTTGCACCTGAAACTGTAAAAATACGGATCGAACCTGAGGAATTAAAACCTGGCGTGATGGCAACGATAATTTGTGATTCCAGTTCAAGTAATCCACCGGCAAAACTGTCGTGGTGGAAGGATGGTATTCCAATCGATGGTAAGTGGAAAAGAATGTCAGAAATCTCTTATATAGCCTAATGTCTTGACACACAGAGTCGTTTTTAAATTTGCTTTCAATTGAAATAAACTAAAGCAGTTGGAGTGCTGCCCAAAATTAAGACATTTTTGGATCAACAGGATGCGATGCTCTTGCATTGTTTTATTGTTCCAAATGTTGGGGTTTTGTTTTCTGCTTTTGTTATATTATTTTTGTGTTCATGTGCAGACAGGCAAGAAGGGGTGTGTTACTACAAATTGGACGGCGCCGTTAAGTATTCAACTACAGGCTGTGCAGGCGTTACCAGCGTTAGTTTTGTTTTTCTGAAAACCTTTAAATATATGAAAATTTTGAAACATAGAGTATTGCCTTCATATGCATAAAAAATTAAAAACTTCAAATGAAAATAAAAATTTAAGCTCAAAATCTTCTAAGCCACTGAGTTATTTTTGCGATAATATAAAACGCGCTTTAAGTATTGTAAATATCGTTTAGTGTATCGTTTGCTTGTTTTGAATTTCACATCCTATTTAGTCACTTTTTTAAACATAACCGGATACGAATATTTTATGTTAGCTTTTCTCGTTTTTGCATTTACTCCTTTATTTTTCGTAGGCATTAATAATACCTCCAAACCAGGACTTTGGGGTGGTATAGTTTCAACTCTGGGATTCAGGGTAAATATTACCCAGGAAATGAACGGCATTGTTTACACATGCCAAAGTGCCAACGAAGCACTGCAGCGTAGTGTTCATGAAGCAGTTAGCTTGGATGTTCTGTGTAAGTACGAAAAAATAGTTACTCTTAGAGATTCAAAATTTCAGATGAATTTTCTGTTTTTGGTGCACCTTTAGACCGCCCTAAATTTGTGCCACCGCCTTCGAATACTGCAGTTGGGGTAGAAGGGGAATCAATGCAAGTAGTGCTTTTAGCAAATGCGAATCCCATGTCAATTGCATATAATTGGATGAAAGATGGTCAGCAAATTCCATCAAGAGATAATGGCGAACATCGTATTTATGCTGAAGGCGGTAATTTAAATTTTACGAAATTGCATAGAAGTGATGCGGGCATTTACACTTGTGAGGCGAGCAATTCTCAGGGCAAAGCCAGTTTAAATATAACCGTAGTCGTAGAGTGTAAGTAATAAATCAATGCATTAGTTTGATTAACATAACTAGTAAAATTCGTTTAACTAAAGTCCATTTAATAATAATTGTATAACTTTTAATTTTTGGTGGCTGACAGATGGCACAACTATCAAATCGGTTTCAGAAAACGTGATTGTAAATCCTGGTGAAGATGCAATGTTGTCATGTAGCGTAGAAGGGAAACCACTTACTGAAGAGCACGTCAAATGGGAACGTCTTGGCTATGACATGACAGTTAAAACTTCAACTACATTTGCTAATAGCACTTCGTACTTGCACATTAAGGACGCACAACGGGAGGATGTTGGCAACTTTCGTTGCATTGCCGATAACCGTGTGGCAAATCCAACAAATCGTGATGTACTTCTTATTGTCAAATGTAAGTAGTTCTGTTAGGCAATAGTAGATTCAGCATATTGCTGCTGACGAAGTCAAATACGTTCATGCTTACTTGTGCATAATCTTTAACGTCGTTTTGCAGTTGCACCAGAAATTGATAAGTCGCCCACACTGCTACGAGCAGCAAGTGGCACCAATGAACGTGGTCGATTGCCTTGCCGTGCACAAGCATCTCCTAAACCCAACTTTATTTGGCGGCATGACAACGCTGATATAAAGAGTACACACAAATATGAAGTGGAAGAAAAGAAAATAGATTCATTGACGTATGAGTCAACTTTGATTATAGAGAAAGTCGCTCCCGCGGATTATGGCACTTATGAATGTGTTGCAAAAAATGAATTGGGACAAGCGGCCGAGACGGTCAGACTCGATATTACATCACAACCGGATACGCCGCTCAGTCTTAATATACTTAATATAACTCATGATTCGGTGACGATGACATGGACGCCTGGGTTTGATGGTGGCCTTAAAGCCTCTTATCGGGTGCGCTATAGGTAAGCAAGAAAGAAAAATAATTTGTAGTTTATTTCATTTTTAAGTTTATTTAGAGAGGCACATCGTGAGCAGTATAAATACATCGACGGATTGCCGAATAGTCATAAGCTTACTATTACGGGGTTACGTATGAACACATTGTATTTATTTTCCGTAATGGCCTTTAATGATTTGGGGCAAAGCAAATATATGCCTGACTTACAGCGCGCACAAACGAAAGGTAAATGTTTTTGACATAATCGATAAATAGATATATTTCCACAGATTTAAATATTAAAAAACCAAATAATATTAACCTCATTGTGATGACAGCAATAGGCATTGTGATGCTACCCATTGGCAAATAATCTTAAGCTGCACTAGGATACTATTTGATTTTTAGTTTTACAGAAACTAAGACTAAAACTATCTTATAGAAATTCAAATATTTTCGTTTCTTTCCTTGGATAGTAAATGCACTACAATATTTTCATTATTTGTGTCATTTGTTTTCACTGCTGCTTTTTCAATACTTCGCAAAATTTTTATATTCGCAATTGATTAGAAGCTCCACCGCCTTCACAACCTGCCTCATCCTTGGGTGGACCGCCTACCACGAGCTCCACACCGCTAGGAGGTACTTCAGGACTGTTGTTATTGATTGGAGTAGTGTCTGGCATTACTGTTGTGTTGCTGAATGTGTTTATCATCGGCTGTTGTTTGCATAGACGTAACCAGAAGCGGCTTAAACGAGGTACGGTACACAAATACTCACAAACACTCTCACATATATTTACTGGAATATGATGCATTTACCAAAAATGTCTGTATTGCTTCCATATTTAATGAGTTTATCTATTATTTTATCAGCAATTACCTTATCTGTTTTCCTAGTATGCCCTTAAGTTTTATTTTAGTGGATTTTAGTTTTCAATTTTCGGTTTTTTGAGTTTCATCTATTTTCTGTAAATTTCTATTTTGTGCTTAACTGATGCGAGTTTTTACGTATGTCAGTGCTGAATTATCAGGTTTTTCGGATTCCGGAGAATAATAAAATCAAACAGATTTCTTTTTCTAAAGTTATCTGACGTTTGTAGAACTTTAAAGTAAACGTAAACGAGGCGCAGATTTCGAATTTTCCCATATTTTGTTTTCTTCTGTGGAAATATTTGGTTCACATACAATTTTTATAAATATTTAACATTTTCTTATTTATATATTATTTCATTTTATTTATTTGCGTTTTTTCACTTTTGATTTATTTTTATTTTACACTGACACTATTCGCACTAAATTTAAACCTGCATTCTGTGTCCTGCTGATGTCTATTGGTTCACATAAAAATGTTATTAAAAACTCCACTCACACAAAAGGTCTTGAAATGATGCCAACAGAGTTAACCGAGGATTCCAATACACCAAATCTGGTAATAATTGGCATTTCACTGGCAGCTTTTGGCTTTTTGCTGGTCAATGTCGCTTTGGTTGCCTGGTTTTTCGTGCATCAAAGACGTAAAAAAGGTCAGATATTTTTTTTATTTTTATAATATCCTTTTTGGCTTTTATTTCATATCTTACAATTTTATTTGTTATATTTTATTTACTTCATTTGCTACAAAGCAGTTTTTATTTTTAAGTACTCTCATATTTTAAATTTTTTTGTCGCTTGTTTTTAAATAAAATTTTATTCTCTCTGGATTTTTTTAAAAAATTATTCAAATTTTTATAATAGCAGGTAAGTAAGATATTTGTGCTTGTTAAGGGTTTTGGATAATGTTTCGTGATTAACTATAACGAAAAAATTTAAAGGCGCACTCAAGTAATTAACACGCAAACGAATAACCATATATTATGAATATTTAAAGCGAAAATTTGTAATAAATAGTCACTTAAGCTAATTTCTGAACCTAGATTTAAGTACGAGGGTCACTATTAATATTTTGAGCCTTGGCAGCACTGATTATTGTTAGGTGTTAATGCGTATGAGCGGGAACGTAAACAGTAGTCGACTGTATGGGTGATTCAAGATGAACCAAATCCAACAAAAGATATTCGCGCTTAAAGTATTTCGAAACAAATGGTCGCTTGTTTTTTGGGAAAACTGGTTATATGGCAACTATATCCATACCATTACAGGAACGTAACAATCATCTGTTTACCGGAAGTCTTCAGTGAAATACGGAAAACAAAAAACCGCCATCGGATCATTCTCCATCTCTATCAATTCAATGCGAGTGCTCACACATCGTCTAATAATCGACATTCAAAAAATCTAGATGATGGGTCACCCGCCGTACAGTACTGATTTGGTACTCAATGACTTCTTCTTGTTCCCGAACGTGAAGGATAAAATGCATGGCCGTTGTTGCATTTAAAAACCATATTTTGGAGGTGTCTGAAGAAGATTGGAAGAAATGCTTTGACAAATGGTTCAAACGCATGCAAACGTGTATTAATCATAAAGGATAATAATTCGAGAAACAATAAAGCAATTTTCGGTGCTGTCTGAAGAAGATTGAAAGAAATGCTTTGACAAATGGTTCGAACGCATGCAAACGTGTATTACCCATAAAGGATAATAATTCGAGAAACAATAAAACAATTTTTAACGACAAGTTAGTATTTTTGCATTATTAGGATCAAAATATAAATAGTGACTCCAGTAGTAAATAATAAGAAAAATTATTAGAAACCAGAATAAAATTCATTTTAGTATCAATGCATTTAAGAATTCAGTTAAAATCTTTATATAAATCACAAAAATTACAACCACCAGTATGATCAGTTCCATATCAACCTATCTTTGTAAGGTTCCTGAAATTCCATCCTTCCTCAATTTTGGGATGGATCACATTGTGAATTTACAGCATCTATAATGTAAGGCTAGAATATTACTTATCGTGTACCTGTACCGACTTATTTATTAATCTAAGTAGTGCCATTTGTTCTCGTTTAGAATTTTCCTGTCAGCAAATTACACATTATCCTGTTTAGTACAGTTAGCAAATGCAAGGATCAGGCAATATTCAGCCTCAACAAAGATCAGAACACTTTTGTATAAAGTTTTGCGTTTATAAAAAGCACCAGCACTTCTAAAATGTAATTATAGAGATCACAGAAGCTCCTTAATGAGCTTCTTGTATTATTATTGAGCTTTGGGTTATAAATATCCACAATGAATTTATTTATTTCTTTGTTTTTATCAATTTCTAAGAACATGGTTTAAGCCTGATTTCAGACTGAATTGACTTCTACTATTGGGTTTGTAAATTAGGTTTGAAAGTCAACTATACTATATAAAAAATGACAAAGGGTGTATAAGATATGCTTTTTGCTTAGTTGACCCAAAGTATGCACTTGGTTACAGAGCAAATGGTTACGACCATAATTTTCATAACTGCTTAATGTTTTATTACAAAGCCGCGATTTTCTACCTGCATGATATGATTCCTGGTACAATATTTTGGTTATATACATTTGATTTTAGATCTTAAATCATTATAATAATGTATACATTTAGAGCTTATGTAACTATTTGTTTGTTGGTTTTTAATTATGGAATGTTTCTTCCTTCAGTCATACTCTCCATATTAATTTTATTATTTCTTTTTCTTCCCAGGCTGTTAATGGGTTTTTCTGTTCCTTTTGTGAAGATAATGGTAAAAATCGTTTTTCCTCCTAAATTTGTTCCTCTTTACTCTAGTTTGAATATTCATCACATTGTGTATATGTCTTGTTGCTTGTCTTACTTTATATGTAGTGCTCAATTCTTTCCAACGGGCTGAGTTTGTTAAAAAATATTCTTAAGCAAATACAATCTCATATTTGCATGTCAATAATTTGAAATTGAGTACATAAACGGCAAAAGTAAGCAGTACGTGAAATTTACGTAAGGTTGAAAGGAACAAAGTCCTAAGTTATGACTTTGTATTCTGTATATAAAACGTAACTAGTCAAGTGAAGCGCACAACAGATATAAACCATACAGAGTGCGAATATACATGCTTCCAGAGAACTAATATGCATCATGATAAGCGAGGTAAAAATACTTCAGTTCTAAGTTTTAGCTTATGTTCCCGAAGAGCTGCTGCATCTGCTTTACATAAATCATGCGAGTGAATGTAAAAACGACAGATACAAGACACTAACTGACTTTGTGTAACACAGGCGGTTAAACGTGATAATGCTCAGGGTACAGTACATTTTTTCAGAGTTTTTTAGATAGATACTTTTGATACTTTAATTACAAAAAGTGTTACAGCATTTGTTCTATATTTCCCATTATTATTTTTAAAACTTTATTAGACAAGTTTCAAGTCATACCGAGCTAACTTATAGGTTAATCGTTGAAGCAAAAAGTAGAAAATGTTTGGTTACACTTTCATTTGGAAATTTTACACTTAGAACTGTCAAATATGCGCAGTAAAATAATAGAATTCAATCGAATGATTTTCTCGGAAACGATTTCCTTTCTACTTTCTTTTAGAAAGTTTATCAGTTTTTGAGTTTATGGTGAATTGTGTTTTGAATTAAGGTCGCAATAAAAAAGTCTTATTCGTTTATTTCATTAAAATAAAGCTCCTTAGCATTTACTTTTAGAAGAATGTATGTTTACAGATACAGGACAATTAAAGAATTGTATGTTGGCCTGTTATACTCAATACTTAAATTTAGACATAATGAAATAAAAATGTTTATTCTTTTCAACTTTGGACACAAATATCAATCGAATATTAGCAAATAAATAAAAAAATAATTTTTTGTTCTGAATATTTACTTTTTGTAGCACTAATTATTTCTGTCTAAACAAATTTTTGTAGTACTGTATAGTTAAATTATTTTTAAATTAAATTTTTGTGTTTGATAGATTTTTGTAATCAGCATTACAGCTACTGGAATCTTTTTACCTATTTGTTAGTTATTTCGATTATAAGTTATCGAATAGATAGTTATTGAACTATCCGCTTGATATTATTTGTAACTAAATTTGTTGTTGTGTACAGGAAATTTCATGTACTTGTTAATAACACCTAGACATTCAATATTCACAGAAACTATAATATGGGTCCATAGTTTTAAACTACAATACCTTAATGAGTTTTCCATATTATATTTTTGAACATTAAAATCTTACTTAATTAAGTGTAAATTTATTACGGCAATGCCAAAATCAACAAAAAGAATATTGTAGCTACTTTGTTGTTGGTAAACTTTACCAGATTTTGGAACCGCTATTGGCGTAAAATTATGAAATCCTACTGTATTAGATTTTGTATACTATATATTTATATATAAACTCGCTTATATACTCGCAGCAATTCAAAACTATGTTCGATCGCGATAGATGACACTGTTGTGATTAAAAATATTGTAATATATTTTCAGACAAATCCGATTTTTAATATTTTTGTTCTAATAAGCAAAGTTACGATCATTTAAAAAATTAAGATTTAATTGCATTGAATTTAATTTAACTTAAATTTTCTCTCAATATGTGTAAATAAAAATGTTAAAGTTTTTGTTATTTTGTTTGCTGTTGAACATTATGTCTAACTTTTTTTATTATTTTTAATGTGGAAATAAAAGTTTCTCCTCTAATATTCTCCTTGACGTCAAATTAAGGCTGTGAGATATAAAACGTAATATGCGGTTTATTTTGTTATTTTAATGCTTTATAAAAAGTTTTTGCAACATTCGCTAATATTTTCCAATTTTCACAAAATCGAGGCACTGTCATATTAATATCATTAATAAA